TCACAGCAGTGTAGACCAACCTCTGTGATAGAGCGGTGACAGCAGTGTAACCTCTGTGGTAGACTACAAAGTCTACGAGCTACAGCGGCACCGCCACCTCCGCTGCTGCAAGACGCCACATTCTGTGAAGTTTCTCAATTTGACGATTTGATCTTATCTCGATGGCGTGGTCTTTGAGGGACATACCGTCAACCGCCGAAAGCACCGTTATTACCGTCATTTTGCAGAACCGGTCGCCCCGGTGGTCTAGTGGTCTGGTATCCATGCCATGTAATCCGCTAGTTGCAGAGGTCGTGAGATCGAATCCCATTTACGAAATTTGCGGTGAAAGCGAAATATAACTAAAAATTTTTTTAAAGCTCTCGTGAGTACCAAACTTCGACGTTAGCACCGTTGACGAGGGAATAAAGGGACGGCTGGACCCTTCTCGCGATAAAACAAAATTCAGCACGCACCGCAGGAGGAAGGTGGGGCATGAAAATAAAGAAAAAGAATAAAAAGCCCTGGTGCTTACCCGCTCGTGTGTGACCCTGGATGGTTGTAGTTGTACGAAAAAATACACTGAAAAAGTAAGTGTACTCTACATACTACGCTGAAATATGTAGTAAACGTCTCACCACGAAAAATGGGGGCACTGTCACCATAATATATAGGACGAAAACACACAAACACACCACACAGTACCGCCGCACAGGTACCTTCAAAAAACGAAGTACCGTCAACCGCCAAAAACGTACCGTCATATTTCGGTACCGTAAAAAAAGTACCGTAAAAATAATAAAGTATCGCCAACCGTCAAGAAAGTACCGTCATTTTGCAAAATCGCCGAAAAAGTACCGGCAAATTCGGCGGTACTGCCAACCGCCAAAAGTGGTACCGTCAAAAAACGAAGTACCGTCAAAACGCCAAAAAACTACCGTCACTTTGCAAACCGTCCGGTTTTGTGTCCGTCAAAAAAACTGGTACCGAGGACTACTCTGTTTGTTATTGTTGGCCTCCGCTTGCTGTGCAGAAAGGGACTGTAGACCATGACACACGAATTATTGTGGTGGGGAAATCAATGCGTATGTGTCGTACCTCTACCAAGGCTGTAGCTATGCTAGGCTGGTCCACTCAAAAAGCGATCGTAGTCTACGATTGGCACTAGACAGGAGGAAGCAAAAACAATTCGGGAGGGAGGACTTTCATCTCCATGTTTCCTCGTGGTGGCTGGCCAACCTAACTAATAGGCTCCCGGGCATTACGCATCAAGTTTTGGCCCTCCCGTCCTGTCCTCGTTCCGTTTTAGCTCTTCCGCCGCCGTGCTACAGCAGTACTATTGCTGTACCTTGTCGTGTTGTTATTGAGTTATGAGCCTTTTTTGGTTTTGCACATTGTCTACAGCAGTCAGTCCACCACACCAAATGAACGCCGCCAGTCCATTTTATTTCAGGTAGCACCCCCCAACACAATAACTTGCAAGTCAGGCAACTCTTGCGAAAATAAAAGCGAAAGAACAACGCAAAATAAAGCAAACAAATCATGGTGCAACGGCATTAGGCTACTTCAAACACAATATCCTACTAATGCGAACTCCTGCATTAGGGTTTGTCTAGGTGCGTGCATTCATTCAATCCTGCGTGCCGGACATTTTCAAGACAACAAATAGCCGCGGCGTTATCTCCTCCCCGTCCCCCCACTTAATTCCAAACTACACCGGATCTTGATGCACAAATTTTCAGGCAGGTTCGGTCAACCGCCCCCCGCCGATAAAAACCCAAACCCTTCCCTCCTCATCTACCCGTCGAATCAATCTGCGCTTTTCACTTCACGACCGACAACAAAAAGACACCCGGTTCCTCTCCTACCTCCCCAGCTTTTCGAGCTCTTTCCCCTTCCCATTGTCCAGACTCCGAGCTCGCAAACCTCCTCCTTCTCACACACAGCCGAAAAGGCCAGCGGCACTACTACTACTCGCTCGAATAGTCATGGACTAGATTTACTGCCTGCCGCCGCCGCCTCCGCCCCGTCGCAAAGACAACCAACACCGGCCAGATGCCACTCCGGGTCTGTTCGTAACTGCAACGTATTTATTGTTACTATGTTTTAGGTAGCGTCCCACAGTCACATTCACTTGGCATGAAGGTAAAATAGTATTTACACGGTGAAGAAGGCTGGTTTGTGAAGGAGAACAGACGGTGGGTGATGGTGTAGACTACAGCGAAACCTCCCACGAAAAAGACAGGGGGGCAATCGAGGCCCCAGTTGACCGCGCCGCCCGTCGCCGGTGGCGCTCCATTCTAAACTCAGCCGCAGATCGATCAGCAACCGACCACTGCAACGCCAATCAATTCGGCAGCGGCAGCGGTGGCGGGCTGGTTGCGGTGGGGAGCGCTCCTCCTGCAACTCTGTACATCGGGAAGCAACAAAAATGGGAATACGTACACACCCTCGGCGGTGCGAGACACACCTACTCATTTCCTCTACCAACCAATAGAGACACAAACAAGTAGACAAGTGTGGGGCGGACGAGAAAAGAGAGGGAGAGCGAAAGAGAGGGAGAGGGAGCAAGAGGTCCTCATCAATCAGAGCCACATCTTCTATCTGCAACAGAAAAACAAAAAGTCCACATGACATGCTCCGAGGGACCAAAACCAGTATGTATATAAAAAACCCGGCAAACTGCTGGCCGTGTTGGTGCTGCCTCCGGCATCACGAAACACTTTAACTACCACGGGCAAGCTGCTGGCCTAAGTACGTCGTGTACTTAAAAAAAAGGCGGCAGGCCTGCAAGTCGAACAAATACAGGCGGCATCCACCCTTCAGCGTATGTACGTACGAACTCGAACCCTCTTTGCGGTGCCGTGGCTACTGTGTTGTGCCATACCACCCAGCCCAAGGTATCGTTGCGAGGTCTCCTGCTACTTGTCCTGGCAGACAACCTCCCTCTATCTCTGCCACAATCAAATAAGTTCTTTCACATTTTTTTCTGAACCCCGAGACAAACCATCAAGTTTCCAAGAAAGAAGAAAGAAAGAGACCGGCAAGAGGTTTAAGTGTGCAGCTTCGGTGTTGAACTTATCCTACAACGGAAGCGCAACGGTAGCTAGCGCTGGCTCCCTGCTGTAAGTTCATCCCGAATGCCACGCNTCCCGTCCTCCCCCTTTTCCCGGAACACAACAACACAAAAACGTAGGTACCGAAACAAAGGTCAGGCTGAGACAAAAAGCAAGCGGAGCCAGTTCTGAAGCAGCACCAGCATCAGTTACAGCCAGCGTTCCGCAATTCGTTCCTTCCGCAACCCTAGCCCCTCGCTTCTCGACTTGTTTCCAACTCAAACCCCACCTACAGTACCTCCGTTCCTTTGACATTCCGTTGGGGAGGGGTCAGGAGGAGTCAGTAAGGCGTCGTTCTCGCATGACATCACGTGAGATATTTCGCGGCAGTCTTCTTCTCCCTCATGTCACCACCCGTCCGTCTATCCCAAGCGTCACTTTTTATAGCCTTTAATCATCCGTCCACCCATCCATCCGGAATTGTCACTATCAGTAGCCCGACACAAACACATATTCCCGTCCGACTCCATCCACTCTCTCCCCGCCAATGCAAACAAATGAGCTGCTGACGAGCGAGAGTCTGTTCAAGTCTTCACCCAGTGGGGGGGGAGGGGGCGGGTGCCCTTCCCCTCCGACGGTGCCTCTCTCTGCCACGTTTTCGGGAAAGATGTTTCTCAGAATCGTCCGGTCTGGCTGACGCCTGCGCTCGGCCATATCTCGCCCCCCGGGATTCTTCCCTCCCAATATTGTTGCTGCTGCTGCTGCTGCTGCTGCTGCTGCTGCTGCTGCTGCTGCTGCTGCTGGCGCTGCTCGGCGTGACGCGAGTCGACCAATCGAAGTAGGACAGCAACAAGGCGCAGGGTACGGCAGGCACAATACCGGTCAGACAATAGCAACGCGCACGTTTTATCGCGTCCACCCCTCTTCTCGGGTGATATTACGCCTTGGCACGGATGTACGTACGTGTAGTGTGTGTTGCGTTTTAATCATCATTTTCGATTGTATTTTATTGATTCCTGCAAGAAACACAGCAAAAAAAATCAAAAACAGAAAACTGCTACCCTACGCTGGTGCGCCCTAGCCCGACCACCTCCTCTACTAGAGTGAATGGGGACCATGATCAGACAGACTGGCAGACACATCGAAAATAGAAAATGGTATGGATGGGCGAAACACAATAGATCGACGTCGCTGACTCAACACACCCAAACGAGTCTCAATTCGACCGTTACCTGCGGGTCATCTTCGACAAATTGGTCCAGGCTGACCATGCTCCCCGGCGTGTGCGCCTGGTGCAGGGTTGAGGAATGAGGGTGGTGGTCATTGTTAGCGTTGTTCGTCAGTGTTGACGGCTACAGGTGTTATTGCTGTTCCCACTATTCAACGACGTGGAGAGTAAATCGTGATTCACCGTGAGCTTCGGTTTCTCCGCGCAAAGACAGAAGGTGTCAGCAATCGAAAAAACAAACCGGAGGCAAGGCACACACACACACACACACACACTGGCACTGACGTATTTTCATTGGTCAGCCGGTTAGCGCGGTCGATGCTAATAATAATAAAAAAGACACACACACACACACACACAGGAGGGCAGCATGGAGTGGAAGAGAGCAAGAGCTTCGAGCCAGATGACCTTGCCCACAACAAACGACGCAGGGCTAGAGAAGAACTGTCGAATGTTCAATAGTTGAAAAAATGACTGTGAGAGTGATGGTTATGAAAGCAAGTAGGATGATGGTGAAAGGACTCCAAAACGAACTCGCCTCGTTAGACGCATGTGGTCGTCTTCTGTTGCTACCGTTTCTGTTTTTCATCCGGAGAATTGCTAAGCTCCCCCCATGCCGCCCCCTCACGGGGTCCAAGTTAATGGCAATAACAAGTGTTTTTGTGTTTTCGACATCACTGAGACTAACGTCTTTTCATTGGTCAGCCGGTTAGCTAGCGCGATCCATGCTACAGCAACAAAATAAACACAACACACAAACCGACACACACACACGCATCCATGCATTGACGCACCCCGTCCACGACCGGAGAATCCATCACGTCGAGGAATCGTCCAAACGGCGGGCCCCCCGGCGACTCCACGAGTAGGCCGTCCCCCCCCCCACACCCCCCCCCCCCCGCGCCCCCCCACGTCGCCCCCCCCCCGCTACCGTCGGGCATGCCTTGTCGGTGCAGGTACTGCCCGTGCTGCTGGTGGTGCTGGTGGTGGTGCTGCTGCTGCTGCTGGTGCTGCTGCAGCTGGTACTGCTGCTGCAGCTGGTGCTGCTGCTGCAGCTGGTGCTGCTGCTGCTGGTAGGGGATCCCGGTGGGCACCCCGCCATCCATGCCCCCCCTGTAAAACCCTCCCCCGCCCGCCGCCGCTCCTCCCGCACCCGCTGAACCCCCGCCGCCGCCGCTTCGGGCCCGGCTCCAGCCGTTGTCCTCCATGCCCATGGCCCCGCCGTAGCCGCCCCCAGCACCGCTGAGCACCCCCCTGTGGGGAAGGTGCGCGGCAGCCCCTCCTCCCACCGCTCCCCCCGCCCCCGTTCTGTCCTGCGATGGCGCCATGCCGCGGAGGTACGCTGGGTGGTGGTGGTGGTCGCCCCCGCCCGCGTAGGGATTGAGGTGGTGGATGTCGCCCGGTCTGATACTTGCGCCAGGGGGTGCGCGGCCCGACAACGCTACTGCGCTGCCCATTCCCGGGGACGGTACCTGCAAAGACAGAGGGACACGACGAAAACAACAACAAAGACAGTTGTATGCATATGCCCGTGTTTAAGCATCGATTCCTGTCCGTCGTGGCGAAATCGAATTTTTGAAAGTTGGGCCAGGGGGGGGGGGGGGGGGGGGGGGGGGGGGGGGGGGGGGGCTAAAGGT